GACAGTGAATAAAGATGACAGAAGATAAATTGATGTCTTTGAATTGCAGTGTTGGAGAAGAGTACTGAATATCCAATGAACTGCCAAAAGAACAAACAAGGCTGTCCTGGAGGAAGAGCAACTAGGCAGCTTCTTTGAGGAAAGAATGGTAAAACTTTGTCTAACATAATTTGTGAATGTGGTCAGAAGGGACCAATCGTTGGACAAAGACATCATGCTGGGAAAGGTTGAGGGTCAGAGAAAGAGAGGAAGACCCTCCACAAAATTAACTGACATAGTGAGTGTAACAATGAGTTCAAGCACATCATAGATGGTGAAGATGTCACAAGATAAGTCAAGATTCAGAGCTGTTGTTTATAGGGTTATTATGAGTCATAGTCGACTTGATGACAATTAACAATAACAATAAGGCAAGACTGCAATTGTGGCCTTTTCCAAAACATCTGACTCACAGTTTTTAGATGACTTTACTGTATTATCAGCTCAAAACCTCCAGTCAAGCTCGCTAATATTTTATTTAGTACATTAGGAAAATTGCAATGGCATATTCCTTGTTTTCACTGATAAAAATTGATCTATGATGTGCTCCAAGAATTGTTTGTTTCTTCTCTTTCTATACTCAAGAGAGTAGAAAGTTTGTTTAGGTACATGGAAGCTCTCAAATATAAACTATTCATTTTAACTTACTGAATGATTTCTCACAGTTGGTGATGGAAACAGATGGTTAATGCTATGTTGTTAGGTGTCATCAAGTCGTTCCGTACAGACCCTATGAACAACAAATCTGAACCTTGTCCTATCCTGTGCCACCCTCACAATTTCTGACACACTGGAGCCTGCTGCAGCAGTCACTGTGTCAATCCATCTGGTTGAGAATCTTCCTTTCTTTTGCTGACCCTCCACCTTTCCAAGAAAGATGTCCTTCTCCCAGGAATAACCTTTCCTAGTAACATGCAACACAAAAGAACAAACAGATGAAGGTACAGCCAGAGTGCTCCTTGGAGGCAAAGATGATAAAGCTTTGTGTCACATAATGTAGGCATGTTTTGTACCATAATGTAGGCATGTTTTGTACCATGCCTACATTATGTGACACAAAGCTTTATCATCTTTGCCTCCAAGGAGCACTCTGGCTGTACCTTCATCTGTTTGTTCTTTTGACAGTCCATGGAATATTCGTTATGTCTCTCCAAAACCCACAGCTCAAAGGTATCAATTCTTCTTCTGTGATTCTTAGTCATTGTCCAGATCTCAGATGCATAGCAATTGAAAAGATCATGCACTGAATAAGGCACACCTTAGTCCTCAAACTGACATCATTGGTCCTCAACAATTTGGAGATGATTAATAACTGCTTAATCACATTCCCACCCTTAAAGTGGAGCATGATGTCATCCCTATCATACCTTTAAATTTTTTAAAACATTTTATACAGGTTTACATACAATGTTCATAAAATTTGTACACATTATTTTTCACACTGGATCTTCGCCCTTGCTTTTACCCATCCCTCCCTCCACCCATCAGATTGTGTGACCCTATGATTAAGCACCCCTGCTCGCCTCCTAGGATCCTTGTGCTCATTCTACAATAATGGTCTTATACAGTATTTATCCATATGAGACTGAGTTAGTTCACAGCATAATGCTTTCCAGTCCCTCCCATATTAGTAGTAATTTACATAATCGTTGCTCCTGTGTGCTACATAGTATTCCATTGTGAGAATGTATCACAACTTCTCAATCCATTCCATTGTGGTTGGATATTTGGACTGTTTCAATGTTCTTGCTAAGGTGAATAATGCTGCTGTGAACACTGGTGTACAAATCTCTGTGTGTGCCTCAGTTCTCATTTTCTCAAGGTATATTCCAAGCAGTGGAATAGCTGGGTCATGTGGAATTTCTATGTTCAGGTTTTTGAGGAAATGTCAAACTACTTTCCAGAGTGGTTCTACCATTTTACAATCCTACCAACAATGTATAACAGTTCCTATCTCACTACATCCTCTCCAACATTTATTACTTGCTGCCCTGTTAAACTTTGCCACTGCTACTGGTATAAGATGGTATCTCATTGTGGTTTTTATTTGCATCTCTCTTATTGCTAGTGATTTAGAGCACTTTTTCATGTGCCTGTTGGCTGTCTGAGTGTCTTTCTCTGTGAAAAGTCTTTTGTCCATTTTGTAATTAGGTTCTCAGTCGTTTTCTTCTGGAGGCCCTATGGGATTCTGTAAACTTTCATGATGAGACTGTTGTCTGAGGTATTGCCGAATGTTTGTTCCCAGTTAGTAGGGTTTTGTTTTGTTTTGTTATTTTACCCTGTTGGGGAAAGGTTTTGATGAGCAAAGAGATTTAATCTTTAGAAGGTCCCATTCATCAATTTTATCCTCTTCACACTGTGCATTTATGGCTGTATTTGGACATCCCTTTGTACCGCAGACTAGGACATATCATACTTAAGACTCAGCTTTAGGGATTACCTGGCCATGGGTCTGTTCTAAGGGAAGGACTCACATCAACCCCATCCTGCCCTTACTAGGGTTCCAAATCAACATTTCCTTTGCCTAGGGGCAGGTGTGTGGTTGTGTGTAAGTACATGTGCCAGGCATGGAGGTGACAACATCAGACAACTCTCTATCTTCTGAATTGAGTGCTTTCTTGAAAAGCAAACAGCCATCCTGATCTGGCACCAAAAACAGAGTGACAAGTCTAAAGCAGAAGTCATGTGACTTGTCTTAAAAAATTTGAGAGGTTGCTTTTTCTCCAGGAAACACCCTGGAGACAAGGGACTGGCCCATACTGCACACAGTTGGAGTTTAATAAATGTCTGATGGTGAAGAAGTTAAGTCCTGATGTGAACAATCTCCAGGAAGAGGTTACCCAGACTCTTCTGCAGGAACACTGAGGTGCCAAGGCCATCATGTAAGCTTTGGAGGTGCCTGAGAAGATGAGATCTGAGAGCTCTGAATCTTCCAGCAAACAAATCAAGCATTGTTTGCTGCTGAATTGTTCTCATTCTTAGAAAATATCATTCCGTTCCATTTTGTATATGGGGAAATAGGGACATGGAAAGGTTAAATGACTTGTCTGTGGTGACACAAGGCTATTAGGAACATGAGAAGGGTAGAGCTGGAACCTGGCTGGTCCCTTAGCCTCTCTCTTTTTCCTGGGTGAGTACATAGAGCCCGGCAGGGTCACAGCTTCTGCAGAACAGTTAAATCTGAGACAGAGAGAGGGTTGGGATTCGGACTTAGGATTTGAGATCCTATGCTCTTTCCTCTGATTCAAGAGAAGCAGATGTGGGGACAGCAATGCTGAGGGATGTGAAAGCCTACTGAGTGATGACATTGACTGGGGCAGTGTGCAGGTGGGTAGGTCAAGATCTCCTGGGTATTATTCCCTGCCCTAACATTGTGTTGCCCTTGACCATTTGGGTGGCTGCAATGGCATCAACATGAGATGTCTCCCCTTTTGAGAGTGGATGGCGAGGTGAGGACTTAAGTGCAGTGAGGTGGGGACCACACAATTAGGAAAGTTGGAGAATGAGGATGCTTAGGGGGCCAAACTTATTCTTGTGACCCTTTCCCTCATCTATGTCATTTCATCTCCCTCCCTGTACAGGTCTGTATACTCACCTTGCTTCTTACTAACACCATTCTCTGAAAGGGCATTTACATCAGTGGTCCCCCTTGAAGGGCATGCACACTTTAGGGGTTCACACACTTTAGGGGGAATTGAAGCAGCTCTGTCTCTTCCCAGAGTAATTTATTTTATTTTTTTTTTAATCCTAGTTCTGATCACACATGTGTTCACATCTGCTGCTATAATAGGATTAGGTCATAAGTGATCATATGGAGGAGAAATTAGAACGTGGAGGCATGCCCTGAATCCGTGTCCCACCAAATAGCTCGCCATCCTTCCAGTCATCACTTCTTTTTTTCCATCATATATCTGGCTTGGTAGGGGAGAGGAGGTGTTGGCAACTGGAGGGCCGGTGATAGAAGGCATTCCTGGATGACTTCATCCTGGGGTGGAGGGGATATATGCCTCTCAAAATTCCAGCCGAATCAGCTCTACCCTTTAAGGGATGAACAGAAGAAAGGTCAGCATTCCTTAAGTCCCTTGTCATACGCAGGCATTTAATCGAGTGACACGGGGGGGCGGGGGGGCGGCGGTACCCTAGTGCTGTAAGTTTCATGGGGGAAGCAGGAATAGGAGGGGGTGTAAGTTTCATGGGGGAAGCAGGAATAGGAGGGGGGGGGAGTGGTGTTGGAGATCTCTTGCCCTGGCCCTACACAGGTCTTTCGGTTGGAAAATCCAGTTGTCACATTTCTTGAACAGAGTACGTGCAAAGTGCGGCAGAACCAGTCAGCACCACGGACAGCGCTCAGCGCGCCTGGCAGCCGCTATGCCCGTCTAGGCTTTAGGATCTAGGGCGGGGTGCTGATTATAAATGCGGAGGGAAAGTGGTGGGCCGTCTGGCACTGTTCTCGCTGAGTCACTGTGCACCCCGCGGTCGTGTCCAACGTCAGAACTCCGTCCCGGGATTCTCCCTACCCTCTCCAGGAATGCTTGGGGGTGGAGAGTGGAGGAGACTGCACAAAGCCAAGGCCTCTAGATTTTTGCAGAGAAGAAAGAAAGGAGCAGGAGACAAGGGACCCATTTGGTGTCTCCTGAGCGCTCCAGACTAGGCCCAGCCCATTTCTATACAAGGCCTGCTCTCCTCAGCTTCCATCCCTGGGAAGCACCCATAGCAGAGGCGGAGGTGTGCATGCCCAAGCCCTGAGCTCAAAGGATCTGGAACACGATTGATAAAGCAGAGATAACCCCAAACCGCAGGACCCGCCCCGGTGCTCCCATTCTAGTATAAAAAGCCAAGGTTGCCCGGGTAAATCGGCACAGCACTCTCAGATCTTGAAGAGGGGGGATTGGAAATTGGAGACAGCAGCAGAAGCAGCAGCAACCCCGGCGTCTCCCAACGACAAGGACTCTCATACCTCAATGGCTCAGGCGCTCCTGCTCTTTCTGTTCTTGTACCTGTTACCTCCTCCAGGTCTTTCCTATCCCCTCGGCTTCTCAGACCTGGCTTCGGATCTGCCCAAGATGCAGGTGAGAGAGCAGAGAGACTAGAAATGGCCATTCAGAGATATGCCCAGAAGCAAAGATCAGCCCTCCAACTCCCATCCCAAGGGATTCCTACTTAACTGTGGGTATTGGTGATAAAAGAATCAGGGGGGAAAAAAAAAGAATCAGGAAGCACAAAACTGAGTGCCAAGATCTCTTAACTCAGGGTAGCCTTTTAACTTGGGCTCCATCTAGGGAAGGTGTAGGAAGTAAAAAGGTATTCAAAGCTCAGGTTTCTCCATTCATTACAGAAGCTGCTAGACACAAGGGAGCGACAGGCGGAGCGGATGGCTGTGGATTCTCACGAGCAGGACCGCGTCCCTGTCAGAGCCCAGAAGACCATGAAGACAACCTCCACAAATGTTCTCTGGGAGTCCCTGAAGACAACCCCCACAAATGTCCTCCGGAAGTCCTTGAAGACAACCCCCACAAATGGCATCCAGACCAGTGCCCTTAAGCCTGTGCGGGTCGCACAAACCCGCAACAAGAAGCCCACTCCTGGCAGCTGCTTTGGGCGGAAGATGGAACGCATCAATTTACAAAGCGGCCTGGGCTGTAATGGTGAGTCCTCACCCTAATACTCCACAGGAGTTCTGTAAAACTTAGCCCATTTCTATGTGACCTACCCCTTGGGTCACTTCAGTGTTTCTTGTCTCTCTCTCTCTCTCTGTGTGCTGCTCTTCGTCTAAAGGAATACTAGTCACATCACTGCTCTTGCTGAAACCTCAGGGTCACAGGATATCTTTCTGAAATTATCAAATCTGGGCAATTGGTTATTGTCATGTCTCTAAGCCCCTCCACACTTCTGATCACCTCTTCTACTCAAAGGTGCAGAATCTCCTTAGGGGACATTATTCATTGTCTGACATCTTCCCCTACCTAGAGCAGAAGTGGTCCCATACATACTTCTCCCTTGTTGCCTCAGTTTATAAATGAGAAATCCCTTGTTTCAAGCCTTTACACAGTAAGAACCCCTGAGGACTGGGTGTAGAATGGGTGGCACTTAATGAGAGGACCCTCACATCCTGCCTTAGTTCCTTATTTTACAGACATATCTTCCTTCTGTCTTTTCCCCACAGTTCTAAGAGATACGAAGATGAAGTTCTGGCAGAAGTAATCAACACAGGGATTCCTTAAAGCCTCCTAATGCAACCCTTTGATTCCCTTTGAAGAAGAGATGTCTACTTGTTCTAATTTATTTATTTATTTTATTATTTTATAAGGATGATTTCTTACTTTTGAAAGAATCATGATGAAATAAAAATCAACATGGCATAAGTATCTTTTGAAGCGGATTTGTTTCTCTGCACTGAAAAATAATTTCTCAAACACCTCACCTAAGCCTGTATTTTCTTGAAAAATCTCAATGAGCACCTTAATAGTAGGGTGGGACACTGATATCAAAAGCTGATTTATCGGGGTAGGGCGATTTTCCTACTCCGAAATGTCTATAAACACCTCAAAGACTTAGACATTTCTCAGAAGTTCCTTTTCATAGCAAGGCAGGTTCTTCCCAGGAGAAAAACGGGTGTGACAGATTTGCATGACAAATTTATGCAATGTGTATATTATATCTATCCAAAAGAATGTCACCATTTGAGACACTAACTTGGTAACTATTGTTTCCAAAAGATAGACTTAAGCTGAAATAACCGAGACTAGGGGCAGCATGTGTGTGTGTGTGTGTGTGTGTGTGTGCGCGCGCGCGCGTGCACGCACCTACATGTACACAATTAGGTGGTTCACTTTGGGTAACTCCTTTAACTTTCCCCAACCCTTAGCTTCAAGCCTTTAATTCCCTGATATCGTCCTGGGAAAGAACATTAAACGCTGAGTTTAATAGGATTTTCATGCCTCAGCTACATAAGGTTAAAAGAGTCTGACAAGAAGCCCAGATTTTTACTGTACTCCTGTCTCTGAAAGGAGAAGGAAGTGGGAGAAAGATGGGCCATCTCTCATGCGATTAACTTCCTGTGATAACCTGCTGAAGGGTCAGCTATGGGTAAGTTCTGACTCAAAGGTAGAGAGTAACAACGAAAACCTTTCTCAGGAGTTCACATCATCTCTTCCTCTCCATCCAAATAGAGAATTTTACTTTCCAAAGCAGACGAGGAGACCACCACTAGAATCCTATTAGGTTGTTTTAACCAGCAGAGAGTCCTGGTTGGGGTCACTGGTCACCGCTCTATGGATCTCCTTGCATGCATTCCACTGCTCTCCACCCCTTCCACCTTGCTTTCAGGCTCTGAAGCCCTACTCCCTGCTGTTCTCTTTTCCCAGAATGTTTTTTATTGTCAGCGGAGGGAAAAAGGACCATGATGTCAGGACAGTTACTATCCCCATTTTTTAGATGAGAAAACTGAGACACAGAAATACAAAGGACCCCACTGAGAGCACTCAGCTCCCAAGTGTGGTGCTGGGATTTGAAATCCTTCTAGGCACTTCTCACCCTTGAATTGCATCTCACACTCATTTCTGGTTTTCTCATTCAATGATTTCTTTGAAGATGGTAGGTCTCTTTTGATATTTTCTTTTTTTAAATTTTATTTTATTATTTTTGTGTGAGTGTACCGTCAAATCAGATCTGACTGGTACAGGAGGAGATTGTCCCTCCTTCCCCGGCAGAGCATCTGGTAGATTCGAACCGTGCGCCTCTGGGATTGTAGTTGCAGCTCCTTACCACTAGGCCACCAGAGCTCCCCTTCTTTTGATATTTTCATCTTAACCCTGCAAGCATCTGAGATTATGGATATTTAACAAAATCAAATTAAGATTTTTTAAAAAATAATAGTTTAGAAGCAGATTATCCACCAACAAAACTGATAGTTAGCATTTATAAAGACTTCATTTATGTGCCTTTATCAATAAAGCCAGGGAGCTCTGGTGGTGTAGTCTAGAGAAAGATGCACTGCTCACTCAAATGTGGCACCTCTTCCAAGATTCAAATCCACCTGTGCTCCACGAAAGTAAGATGAGTGGTCTCTTCCAGTGGGATTTACAGTCCCTTTAGAGTGTCAGGAATGAGTAGTTTCCAACTCAATGGCAATGAGGTGATTTTTTTTTAATTCTTTGCTAGGCAGAATTTCAGGTATTTACTTGTTTTTCCTCCCTTTTTTAAAAAAAATTGATATTTTCATGAAAGTTTATAGAGAATTTGGATTTCCATTCATTCATTGTTGTACATTCTCCTCTCTGCCCCCACCCCACGAGTTTGCTTTTCTGTTTGAAAAAAAAAATCTTTCATTGTTGTATATTTACTTGTTTTCAAGACAACTTGTTACAAAGGTAGAAGAGGAAGAAAAGATCTAAATGGATGTCAGAAGAGACTCTGAGAATTGCACTAGAGCACTTAGAGCTAAAATAAAAGGAAGGAATACCAAAAGAAAAGAGAACAAAAGATCTCAAAGGGTGGCTCGAGAAGACAAAGCCAAGTGCTATAATGGAATGTGCAACGGCCTGGAGTTAGAGAATAAAAAGGGATGAACTTGCTCAGCATTTCTAAAGCTGAAAGAACTGAAAAAACAAGTTTGATACTCAATCTTGAATGATCCAAGAATTCAAAATACTGAGAGATGGGCAAAATCTTGAATGATCCAGAAAGCATCAAAAGAAGATGGAGTTGAGTCACTGAACCAAAAAGAATTGGTTAAAAAACAAAACAAAAAAATTCCTCCTTCTACAAAGGCATGTCTGTGGTTTTCTGTCCTTGGACATGTAAGAATTGGAGGCAAAGAAATAAGGACTTGAAAGAGTCTAGGGCCAGCTGCTCCTTGCAGGCTCAAGCTCACCCATCCAACATTAAAGAGAAAAAAAGAAGAAGAAAACAAACAAACAAACAAAAAATTCATAGACACTGAAAAATTTTAGGAAGTACCCTATGAACAAGAGCCAATGGTAATGAAGGAAGGAGTTAAAGACACACTGAAGGCATTGGCAAAAAATAAGACCTCAGGTACTGATGGGATACTAATTGACATGTTTCAAATGATAGATGCAGCCCTGAACGTGCTCACCAGTCTATGCCAGGATATTTGGAAGACAGCTATCTGGCAAGTTGACTGGAAGAGATTCATATTTATTTCTATTCCTGAGAAAGCTGACCCAACAGAATGTGGAAGTTATGAAACAATTTAATTAATATTACAGGCAAGAGAAATATTGCTGAAGATCATCCAAGAATGGCTAGAACAGGTCATTGACAGAGAACTGCCAAAAGTTCAAGCTGGATTTAGAAGAGGTCTGACACAAGGCTATCATTGCTGATGTCAGGCAGATCCTGTTAGAAAGCAGAGAACACCGGAAGAATGTCTATTTGTGTTTTATTGCCTGTGCAAAGGCATCTGACTGTGCAAATCATAATAAACTATGGCTAACATTGAGAAGAAGAGGAGTCTGAGAACACTTAATTATGCTCATATGAAACATATATCTAGACCAAAAAGCTGTGAGAACAGAGCAAAAGAACACTACATGGTTTAAAATCCGAAAAGATGATGTCAGGGTTACATTCTTTCTCCACATCTATTTAATCCGCACATTAAGAAAATCATTCAAGAAGCTGGACTCTATAGAATGTGACATTAGAATCAGAGGAAGACGGATTAACAGTCTGCATTATATAGATGACGCAACCTTGTTTGCTGAAAGTGAGAACTTGAAATAGTGCTGCAGAAGATCAAAGACTACAGCATTCAATATGGATTGCATTTCAACATCAGGAAGATGAAAGTCCTCATCACTGATCGATAAGGAACATCATGATAAATGGAGAAAAGATTGAAATTGTCAATGATTTCATCTTACTTGGGGCCACAGTCAACACCCTTGGTTCCAGTAGTCAGGAGCTGAGGAGATGTATTGCAATGGACAGGTCCACTATGAAGGACTTCTCCAAATTACTGAAGAGCAATGATATCAGTTTGAAGACTAAGGTGCCCATGATGCAGGCCATGGTCTTTTCAATCACTTGTTATATAACTGAAAGCAGGACAATGAATAAGAATGACAGAAGAATTGATGTCTGTGAGTTGTGGTGCTGGAGAAGTTGTTGTTGTTGTGTCATTGAGTTGAAACTGAGAAGAGTATGGACTCTCTCGTGTATTACCAAAAGAGCAAACAGATACATCTAGGAGAAAGTGCATTCCAGGTGCTTCTTGGAGGGAAGGATGACAAAGCTTCGTTTCACCTATTTTGAGCATGTTGCTAGAAAAGACTATTCCTTGGAAAGGGACACCACACTTGGAAAGGTCGGAAAAAGAGAGGAAGATCTCCAATGAGATCTAATGACACAGTGACTGCAGTAATGGGCTCCTGTGTGTCAGAGATGATGAGGATGGCACAGGAGAGGACAGGGTTCAGATCTGTTGTTCACAGGGTCGCTATGAGTCATGCTCCACTTGATGACACCTCACGACAAGAACAGCTTGTTTTGACTCCTATATTTCTCACAACTGTATGAATAAGAACCCTTACTAATTGCATTTTATAGATGGGAAAACAGAGGCACAGGAAGTTACACAGTTTGCTTATGGTTACACAGTCAGTGGCAGGGCCAGGATTCAAGTCCCTTTTGTCTGGC